GATGGGCAGATTTAAAATCACTTTACGGCAGGCCTTGCTGGCATTTCTTTGTGCCATTTCTTTAATCAATTCTGCTTGTGCTGCTGGTTCTTGCACTTGTTGTATCTGTAACCTTAGACGAGCTACAAAATGCAAGAAACTCTCAGATGGAAGTTGGTTAATATTAACATAACTGACTTGGGTTTCTAGTGTAGGTATTTTATTGTAAGCTTTTTCTGCTACTTCACAGATTTTATCTAAAATAGGTTTTGTTAGCACTTGAACCTGATCTTCAGGCTTAGACCACCTTCCCTCCCCACATGGTGTTCAGAAGTAATCTCATTATTTTCTGCATCTTTTGCATACTGTATGCTTTGCTTGAGTTCATCTTTTAATGACCTTTTCCACAAACTTCCCCAAAAATCAAATTCAGTGGGTGTTAGGAGGCACCTGAAGAAATCTTTGATGTCAGCAGGAACTAATTCTTGAGATTTTAAAGTAGCTTTAATCATTCTTTTTAATAATTCACTATTTTTACCAAATTCATGTTGTATTTTACATATCTCTCTGATATCATGGTAAGCGAAAGGCTGATATTGTCTATTAGCTCTTTTCTTACCAGTATATATCACAGGTGCAGCAGTAGGTATATCCTTATCTTCCCCAGAGCCTGTATCTTCGGGGTCTCCCTGCCCAGCCCCGCCCACACCAGGCAATGGGGGCTTTGTCTCACCCCCGGGCTGGTGAAGAGACTTATCTGCCTCTGCAGGGGACCCAGGGGGCCCAGCCTCACCCCCAGATCAGTGGAGGGTCTCACCTCCACAGGGGCTGGGCAGGGACACATCTCCCCTCCCCGGGGGGCAGGGCCAGGACACCCTTCCCCCACCCCCCATGGGAGCAGGGGGCAGGGCCACCCCTCTCACTCACCCCCTCCCTGTGAGGACAGGAGGCAGGGGCTTGGAGAGCAAGATTGCAACATTTGGGGTTGTGTTTGTAAGGTGATACCAGGCTTGAGCAGGGTATTGCAGGAGGGAGGGAGATATGAGAGGGAGGGGAGGGGTTATGGGAGGAGTAAGGGAACTGGGCGGAGTGAGGTGGATAGAAGGAATCATGGGAAGGAGGAGGGAGATAGGAAGGGGGTTCTTCCAGGTGGGTAGCTGGCACACGGCCAACTCCATCTTGGATTTCAGGCACATGGAGGCCCGGGGATTTCACGGCCGGAATATTAGGGTAAGATTCTCTGATAGTCAGCGCAAGGCTATCAGAGCTGGGGGGCTGAATGAGACACATGGCTCCAGAAATGGCACTATTGCAGTGCGTTTCTTGAATTTCTGGATTTGTTCCATGTATCTTTTTCAGCACAGGAGCAGAGGGTATGGGTAAAAAGGTATGGGATACTGAGGAAGGCTGCAATGGCTGGTTTTTTATGTCTTTTTCTCTGTTGATCAATTCTTTCCGAATTATAAGAAAAATTGGGAGATATTTTGAAGCATTTTTTTCTCTTTCCTCTATTTTTAGAGTGAGAATATTGCCAATTTGATTCCATGTTGTCTTAGTTTAGGGCAAATTAGGAAAGAAAACTCCAAATGGGGATTTCCCCAGGGAAATGCCCCTCCCCACTAACTGGTCCGGGAAAAGAAAAAAAATTATTTAGAGAGAAGTGGAAAAAGCTGTTTATTTAACAGAAATTGAGTAATATTAAATAATAAAACCTCTTGCTGTTCGATGGGATGGCAAGTCTAGGAAGAAAAGTCCTTTTCATGTGGTGTAGCTCGGCTCGCTCAGGTTCTTATCAGTCCCTCCGGCGCTGGAAAGTGCCGAGGCCCAGGCCCCGGTGGGCCACAGGCGTGAGCTCCCGGGGTTTGGCTGGGTGTTCAGTCCAGAGCAGGCTTGCACAGATCCAAGAAAATTGGGAAAAAAACAAACAAAGGTCCAGGGAACTCCTCTGCCTCAGCTAGCTAAAACTAACTAAAAGCCAGAGAGAAGCTCTGTCCCGCTGTCTGTCCGTGCTGCAGACACCACAGTCCAGGAGCGGGATGTGTGGGAGTGATGTTTTTCCTTAACACAAACTGCGCGCTTCTTCTTCCCCCTCTCTTGCTCTCAAAGCCAGTCTTAAAGGTGCAGAACTTAATATATAACATAAACCAGACGATTGGGGATACCAGTATCATAAAGTCACCCCAGGACATTCCACCCCTTATCCCCATATCGTCAACTTATTATCAAAATTAATATATATATATTTTAACCCTACAACACATACATTATATACAGACAAGGGCATTTATTCATGATTTTCACCTAACCATCAGATCTCCCTGAGGTACACATTGTGTTGTTCCATCTTTCCGCATTATCCACCATGTGCAACCCGGTCCTTGAGCAAAAACAACTCCACGAATGGGTTTGTCTGTACTTGAAGTAGAATTGATCCAAACTGTCTTTCCTAACAAACCTCTGAGATGTACTGCTGGGACTTTGTCTCCGTCTACTTTATGCAGGGGCTCGGATTGGGCTGGGCCTGCTCGATTGGTGGAACCTCGGGTATTAACTATCCAGGTGGCCTTTGCTAGATGTTGCTCCCAATTTTTGAAAGATCCCCCACCCAACGCTTTCAAGGTAGTCTTTAACAGTCCATTGTACCTCTCCACTTTTCCCGCAGCAGGTGCATGGTAGGGGATATGGTACACCCACTCAATGCCATGTTCCCTAGCCCAGCTGTTTATAAGGTTATTCTTGAAATGAGTCCCATTGTCTGACTCAATCCTCTCAGGGGTGCCATGCCTCCAAAGGACCTGCTTTTCAAGTCCCAGGATGGTGTTCCGGGCAGTGGCATGAGGCACAGGGTAGGTTTCCAACCATCCAGTGGTGGCTTCTACCATTGTGAGCACGTAGCGCTTGCCTTGGCGGGTTTGGGGCAGTGTGATGTAGTCAATCTGCCAGGCTTCCCCATATCTATATTTGGACCACCGCCCACCGTACCATAGCGGCTTCAACCTCTTGGCCTGCTTGATCGTGGCACACGTCTCACAGTCATGGATAACCTGGGAAATACTGTCCATGGTTAGATCCACCCCTCGGTCTCGTGCCCACTTATAGGTGGCATCTCTACCCTGATGGCCTGAGGCATTATGGGCCCATTGAGCTAGGAACAACTCTCCCTTGTGTTGCCAATCTAAGTCTATCTTTGACACCTCTATCTTTGCAGCCTCATCCACCTGCTCATTGTTTCGGTGCTCTTCATTAGCCCTACTCTTGGGGACATGGGCATCTACATGACGGACCCTCACAGACAGTTTCTCTACCCTGGTGGCGATGTCCTTCCACTCATCAGCAGCCCAGATTGGCTTTCCTCTGCGTTGCCAGTCGGCCCTTTTCCACCTTTCCAGCCATCCCCACAGAGCATTGGCTACCATCCATGAATCAGTGTAGAGGTAGAGTTTTGGCCACTTCTCTCTTTCAGCAATGTCCAGGGCCAGTTGAACAGCTTTGAGTTCAGCAAGTTGGCTTGATCCACCTTCTCCTTCAGTGGCCTCTGCGACCTGTCGTGTGGGGCTCCATACGGCTGCTTTCCACTTCCGGTTCATCCCTACGACGCGACAGGAACCATCAGTGAACAGAGCATAGCGTGTTTCTTCTGCTGGCAGTTGGTTGTACGGTGGAGCTTCTTCAGCTCGTGTCACTTGTTCCTGCTCCTCTTCATCAATGAGACCAAAGTTTTCACCTTCCGGCCAGTTTGTAATTATCTCCAAAATCCCAGGGCGATTTGGGTTTCCTATACGGGCGCGCTGCGTGATGAGGGCGATCCACTTGCTCCATGTAGCGTCGGTGGCGTGGTGGGTAGAGGGAACCTTTGCTTTGAACATCCACCCCAGCACTGGCAGTCGGGGTGCCAGGAGGAGTTGTGCTTCTGTGCCAATCACTTCTGAGGCGGCTTGAACTCCTTCATAGGCAGCTAAGATTTCCTTCTCTGTGGGAGTGTAGTTGGCTTCGGACCCTCTGTAGCTTCGGCTCCAGAATCCCAGTGGTCGGCCTCGAGTCTCCCCAGGCACTTTCTGCCAAAGGCTCCAGGACAGACCGTGGCTCCCGGCTGCAGAGTAGAGCACGTTCTTCACGTCTGGTCCTGTTCTGACTGGGCCAAGGGCTACTGCATGGGCGATCTCCTGTTTGATCTGAGCAAAGGCTTGTTGTTGTTCAGGGCCCCACTGGAAAGTGTTCTTTTTGCGGGTGACCAGGTAAAGAGGGCTCACAATCTGGCTGTACTCAGGAATGTGCATCCTCCAAAAACCTATGGCACCTAGGAAAGCTTGCGTTTCCTTCTTGTTGGCTGGTGGAGACATTGCTGTGATCTTGTTGATGACATCAGTAGGAATCTGACGCCGTCCATCTTGCCACTTTACCCCCAGGAACTGAATTTCACGAGCTGGTCCCTTAACTTTGCTCTTCTTGATGGCAAAACCGGCTTTCAGGAGAACCTGGATGATTTTCTCTCCTTTCTCAAAGACCTCTTCAGCCGTCTTTCCCCAGACAATGATGTCATCAATGTACTGCAGATGTTCTGGAGCCTCACCCTTTTCCAGGGCAGCCTGGATCAGTCCATGGCAGATGGTGGGGCTGTGCTTCCACCCCTGGGGCAGTCGGTTCCAGGTGTACTGCACTCCCCTCCACGTGAAGGCAAACTGAGGCCTGCATTCTGCTGCCAGGGGAATGGAGAAAAATGCATTGGCAATGTCAATAGTGGCGTACCACTTCGCTGCCTTGGACTCCAGCTCGTACTGGAGCTCCAGCATGTCCGGCACGGCAGCGCTCAGAGGTGGAGTCACTTCATTCAATGCACGATAGTCCACAGTCAATCTCCATTCTCCTTCAGATTTACGCACAGGCCAGATGGGGCTGTTGAAGGGTGAGTGGGTTTTGCTGACCACCCCTTGGCTCTCCAGCTCTCGGATCATCTTGTGGACGGGAATCACAGCATCTCGAGTTGTTCTATATTGTCGGCGGTGCACCGTTGAGGTGGCAATTGGTACTCGCTGTTCTTCCACTTTTAGGAGTCCTACTGCAGATGGGTTCTCTGACAGTCCAGGCAAAGTGTTCAATTGCTTGATGCCCTCTGTCTCTACAGCTGCTATCCCAAATGCCCACCTAAGCCCCTTTGGGTCCTTAAAATACCCACTTCGGAGGTAGTCTATGCCCAAAATGCATGGGGCCTCTGGGCCAGTCACAATGGGGTGTTTCTTCCACTCATTCCCAGTCAGGCTCACATCAGCTTCCACTAAAGTAAAGTCCTGTGATCCCCCTGTCACACCAGCAATAGAAACAGATTCTGCCCCTACATATCTTGATGGGATTAGGGTGCACTGTGCACCAGTGTCAACCAAGGCCTCATATTTTCGTGGTTCTGATGTGCCAGGCCAACGAATCCACACAGTCCAAAAGACACGGTTTTCCCTAGCCTCTACCTGGCTAGAGGCAGGGCCCCTCTAAGCCTGGTTATCCTTCTTTTCTTGGGTATATGTCTTGGAGGTTCCTTCAAGGGAGTCAGACATGTCATCATCATACTTGTCAGTTTGACTACAGGCTACTGGAGCGGCTTTCTTTTTGGTAGAGTATCCCCCCTGAGTCTTGCTGTCTTCCAATTCAAGCATCCGTTTTGCCAGAGCAGCAGTAGATTTTCCATCCCATCTTTTCATGTTTTCTCCACAGTCACGTAGGAAAAACCACAGCTCAGCTCGTAGCTTTTTCTCTCTATCTGGGGAACTTCTGCGTTGAGTACCAGGGCTCCTGGTCTGTACTGCCGAGACTGGAAGAAGGTCCTCCCTGAGTTTCTTGAGATTCTCCTCTATTTTGTTTTGGAAGTTTTGCATATCTGTTCTCACAGTTGCAATTGTTGCCTGCATGGGGCCATGCACGGTATCTGCATATGCTCGAAGCTTCTTCGCCATATCCAGCACAGTCTCCTCCCGGTCATCCCGCTTCATTGTTGCTAAAGCAGAAGCGTATTCTTGTGGCCCAAGTCGAACAAGTTTTCGCCACATCACAGATGTACATGGCACCAAGTCTGGATTTCTAGTACCTAAGTCACCCACAAAGACAATCTCTACTATTGCCATTTCTCTCAAACGCTGAATGCCTTGTTCTATGGTTTTCCAACGAGTTTGCTGTATATAGAGATCGTCTGCACACAGATATCTTTGTGCCACGCTTCTTAGGACCCGTTCCCAGAGACTATAAGGGTCAGCCCCCCTCATCATCTCCTGGTCAATAACCGGATCGTGTGACAGGGACCCCAGATGCCTCGCTTCAGTGCCATCCAGAACTGTAGCCTCACCTGCAGCATCCCACAGACGGACTAACCAACTAATTATAGATTCATCAGCTCGTCGAGTGTAATCTTTTCTCAGGCCACGAAGGTCCTTCAGGGAGAAAGGTTCACCAGTGCCTTCTGATTTTTGATCAGTTGCTGGTCTTGAGGGTCCTTCCCCCGCATCACCATTATCATCATCTACTGGCCGATCGGTTTTGGTTTTGAATTTCATGCCTCTCGTGGCAGGAGCAACAGACACTGGCTTAGGCTCACTGTCTGGTTTGGCTGCTGGCTTGGCTGCAGCCTGAGTGACTGGGGTAGCTGCTGATTTATCTGCCTGCCCTACAGTATCTAGCAGCGTGCGATAAGCATACGCTAGGGCCCAGCTTATTGCAATGATATTTTTCTTCTTAGAATCATCACAGCAATTCTCTTCCAGATATTTCCCTACTTCATCTGGGTTCTGAATTTGTTCACGTGAAAATTCCCAGGCTGGGGGATCAGAAAATTCCTTCAGAGTCCGGCCCATTCTCTCCCATTCTCTACACCACTCAGGATTTCCCACACCTGAGTCTACTTCTGGGGCAGGGGTCTCGTTGGCTCCTCTGGATATCTCAGCCCTCACTCTAGAGAAGTTGCAGACCATATAGAGGAAGCTCAACAGCTGAACTACCAGGAAAGTGACCAGGAATGTGGTATCCTTAACACTCAGGGGAAACTGGATATTCTCAAAGAGGGACATAACAGATTCAAAGGAGAAGAAGGAAAGAAAAGGCTGAAAAGCCTCATCCCCTGGTCTTCCTCTAACAAACTGGGTGCAATTACCAATAAACTCCCAAAATGTGCTACTGGGACTGGGAGGCAGGGTCGGGCGAAGAAACCATAAACCAAACATACCTGACAGAAACTTCAGTAGTTCTATAAACTTCCTATAAATCATTATCACCGAGCCCAGCACAATAACCATTCTAATCCGTGCCCCTCTACTGTGAAAGAGGGCAAAGACAGGTATTAAAACCTCAAAAACTTTTAGGGACCAGGTCCACATGAAGGCCTCCACCCCAAGAGACATTATGTATCCAAACAACATGGCTACTGACTGCTTTATCCCAATACAGAATAAATACAACCAACACTCAGTACAGGTTTTTCCACTTTCTCTTGCCCCTGTTCAGGCGCCAAAAAAACTGTATTTGTCTTAGTTTAGGGCAAATTAGGAAGGAAAACTCCAAATGGGGATTTCCCCAGGGAAATGCCCCTCCCCACTAACTGGTCCGGGAAAAGAAAAAAAATTCCTTAGAGAGAAGTGGAAAAAGCTGTTTATTTAACAGAAATTGAGTAATATTAAATAATAAAACCTCTTGCTGTTCGATGGGATGGCAAGTCTAGGAAGAAAAGTCCTTTTCATGTGGTGTAGCTCGGCTCGCTCAGGTTCTTATCAGTCCCTCCGGCGCTGGAAAGTGCCGAGGCCCAGGCCCCGGTGGGCCACAGGCGTGAGCTCCCGGGGTTTGGCTGGGTGTTCAGTCCAGAGCAGGCTTGCACAGATCCAAGAAAATTGGGAAAAAAACAAACAAAGGTCCAGGGAACTCCTCTGCCTCAGCTAGCTAAAACTAACTAAAAGCCAGAGAGAAGCTCTGTCCCGCTGTCTGTCCGTGCTGCAGACACCACAGTCCAGGAGCGGGATGTGTGGGAGTGATGTTTTTCCTTAACACAAACTGCGCGCTTCTTCTTCCCCCTCTCTTGCTCTCAAAGCCAGTCTTAAAGGTGCAGAACTTAATATATAACATAAACCAGACGATTGGGGATACCAGTATCATAAAGTCACCCCAGGACACATGTAGAGACAGAATTTAGTTCTGACCAATCTAGCTGTGGATTGTTATGAGATAACCACTCTGTGAAACATTTTAACTTTTTTCTAGATATTTTAACATTTATAGTACTTAAAAATTCTTGCAATTTGGATTTTAATTTTGGTTGGTGTGTAGATATATTAGATCCCATGCCTGTTATTAAAATTGTGTTTTCAAAACTCGTTTTTATCTTGTTTTACTGCAAAGCAACAAAGCAGTGCAAAGGCAGGCTTTTTTACTACCTCAACCACACACTGGGTTGAGATAAGCTCCTGCGACTGTCGCTGCCATGCTGCGCGGCTGTCCTGCGAAACGTGCCACGGCCAGCACTGCACAGGAGCCTCAGCTCGGTCTCCGCGCCTTGCGGGGGGGCCTTCCTGTGCCACGGTCACCGGGGCTGCCGCCGCCAGTCGTCCCGTGCTGTGCCCGCCGCAGCCTGCACACCACCGCCCGCCAGCCCGCCGCCGCCCCGCACGTGCTTGCTTCCTGGCTGCGCCCCACGCCTGGTCGCGCGCTCCGCGCCTGCCGCTGCCTGCTGTGCGCCCACCACCACTTCCTCTGCCAGGCCGGCCTACCTGACTCACCAGTTTTACGTTGCCAAGCAGTAGAAAAGCCTCCTGTGTGGATTGGGTTCCCCTGGGCGTGAGGAAGTTACCAATCCAGTCCTTGTAAACTATAATCTTAGCTTTTCAAGGTAGTTGACGTGCCCAGGCTTGCAAAACATCTGTGTTTCCAGCCAGTTTTAGGGGGTCGTGCCCTCCCTGGGATGCCACCTGCTATTATAACTTTGTCCCCAGCCCCTCTGTTACCTCTGTCCACCCCGCAGCGGCCAGGGAGGCTGGGGAGGTAGTTTTAGCTTGCCAGAGGAGGCCCTAAAAACGAGGCTCTTTCCCTTTTCTGCGATGGCAGTTGTAGCTTTATTTTTTGGGATCTTTCGGAGTGAAGTTGCAGGAGGGAAAGAGGAAGAGGTATTGATAAGCACTTCTTTTTCAAGGCAGGGGGAAGGGGTGTGGGGAATTTACACAACCAATAAGGGGAACTGGGGAGAAGAAGATAAGGGAAAGAACTTACAAATCTACATTTTCGGGGGTACATTCTTTGGGTCATACCATTTTTCCTAACTGCATTACAACACTTTATATTTGTTTAACTAAAGAAAGGTTCCAAGAAGACCTAAATGGAGATAGGTCTCCTAGCAAACTGAGGTGTGACTAAGATTTATTCAAATTGTATAATGAAATAAAGTCAAGAAAGTAATCGAAGTGTACTTAGTGGACTCTCAGATGATTAATCAACATGTTCACAAAGCCAAACCTCTGTATCTGTCTTTTTACTGGTTCATTAATTTCTCTTGGCATGAACTAATTTATAAACATCTAGCTGACCTTGATATTTAAGAAAAGTGAATTCTGACGACTCCTTTACCAGGAAAAGCTTATTACTCATGAAGTAGTTTGAGAGAGGGATTCAAATATTATTGCTTTTTCCCCCCTTGAAATGGAATTACAGAATAAAAGCATTGCTGTCCTCTTAGAGCACATACTGTACAAAAAAAAAATAAATTGCTGTGAATTAAAGGAACATTTAATGCAAGGGACTCAGATGGATTTATTTTGTTTACTTGCAATGACTAGTTAATTCAGAATTACTTCATTACAAAACATCACAGTCAGACACAGCACTGAGTAAGGAACTCTGAAAGTGCATGAGTAAGTACTGTACACTTAAAAGCAGGCTCAGAACTTATCACCTGTATTAATAAAAATGTTGATTTTACCCTGTACTTATAACTTTCTCAAGTGGTATAATACTTGTTCATTTCCTTGCCTGAATGACACTTGCTGCTGTTACAACTAGATCCACTATTTGAGCTTTCTTTTCACCCACAGTGGTGTAAAAAACCCAGCAGAAATGATGAACTTGAATGAAACAGATTTAATCCAGCCTTGCTTACTCCATTCTTGACATACACCATCTGCAAACGCTCAGCAAATGATGCCTCCTGAGAATGAATGCAATCAAAAATTGTGCTCGAATCTATCCCTTATTCAATTTTGCCCTAGATCAAATCCTGTTTCACAGAAAACAGAATACTGGGTAGCCTTGAGCAATGCTTAGTAACATTCTTCAAACTTAGGACTTAATGCAGGACAACCTCCCTACCAACAAAAGTGAGCTTTAAAGTGTTTTGCAAAATTAGAACCTAAATCCTACAGCTCTTCAGTTTCTGCTTGCATCAGTTCACAGACCTATCCGATCATCATTCTTTAAATCATCTTGGATTAGTTATATTGCTTTGACAATATAAAATTATCTTTTATTAGTTTCTCATAAATATAAATTGAATTAAAAAGGTAACCCCTTAATTTCACTTAAGGTTCCCCTGTGATAGCATTACGTTTCCCTGTCTCATAATTTACAAAAAAATCCAGACACTTATAAGCAAGAATATTAATAATTAAGGACATAATAAATCATATATGCCAACTTAATAAACACATTAAAAACTAGAAAGCAAATTTCATCTCAGTGTAACAACCCTATTAAAATTTCAAGGGCAGTTTATGGTTGGAGGTGGCATTATTTCTACTTCAATGTCTGAGTTATCCATGGCTGGGCAGCTGAATGGCTCCATCCAGCCTGGAGACTGGGGGGCTTTTTCCCCCTTGCCTCAAGATGTAGAGAAAATGTAGGTGATGTGCAGGGAGTGATAGAGGAGAGTGGTGTAAAAAATAAAAGAGGCTGGTAACCTTCAAAAAGGTATGCCTGTTTATTGTGAACAATGAACAATTGGAAATGAGGCCCCAAAATAAGCCCAGGGCCTACACAACAAGCCAGAGTAACAATAAACTGACACCTGTCATGAATAAAATCTCTCAAGAAGAATCTCTCACCCTGATTAAAATACTGTAAGCGTTTGGTTGTGTACAGTTAATGTTCTTGTCCCATTTGTAAACCTTGTTTGTTGTACCTCTTGTTTACCCCGATAGTTGTTAGTAATGTTAATTACTTACCAGTAATTACTTGTAATTAATTACTTGTTGAAGTGTTTTAAGAGTTCTCTTATAAGATGTACCTCTTCCCTCTTTCCCTTACTTTCCTGTTACTCTGTAACAATGCTGCTCCCAGGGGGCTCTGAGCCAAGAGTCATATGCTACCTAAGGCATGCCAGACACCCAAACAATGAGCTAACAAAGGAATAAAAGGACAAAGAAACATATTCCAGCAAGCTATGATGGAAGACCATCTTCCTGCATCACCTGAGCCTGCTTAAAAGACCGTCTTCCTGCATCGCTATGGCCTAAAGAGGACTGGAAAGGAGTGACCCCCCTGGACAATGAGCCAGAACAACCAGCCTCCTGGCTACTCTCACGAGGAT